TTAACCAACTGTACTTCACCACCTAGCCAACCACAAACCGCCAGTGAACGTCACCTCAACAACCACAATACCCAGAAACAAACACCAGCAGTACAGCCGTCCCAAACACACTGATCACACCCCAAAAAATGAACAGTGTAGACATAGGGCGGTGCAGCAAACGCATTGTACAATACCTATGGGATCCCGAGCCCAGGAATGATCAAAAGCCAGATGCCTCTATCTGGTGCTTGGGAGTAGAGTATGCCCCGCGGTTTCAGAAACATGCAGCAAACAGAACACCCGGTAAGATAGGAAATTGTTCTACCATCACCATTTATATGGGCGGAAGATGACTGATATGTGTGGGCGAATAGACAGGGATGAGCCTGACGCTGGAACAAACACCATAGACGATGTAACAGAACATGGATGGCCAGAAGCATTCGTCTCGGACTTCGAGTCGAAGATCTGGATGACATATCGATCTAACTTCCCCCCAATACCAAGACCGGACAACGATGAAGCGAATCATCCGATGACGCTAACTGTACGCCTGAGAACACAGCTAATGGACCCTCAAGGCTTCACTTCAGACACAGGCTGGGGTTGCATGATCAGATCAGGGCAAAGCTTGCTAGCAAATGCAATGCTTACATTGTGCCTAGGCCGTGGTATGACCCGCCGCCCTCTTAACCCTATATATATATAACTCCGACACAACCCTTTCCTTCAATACAACCCTCATGCTAACATATCCTAGCCTGGCGCCGCGGGGATAAACCGGAAGAAGAGGCCCATCTACTATCTCTATTTGCTGATCATCCAGACGCGCCCCTCTCGATACATCGATTTGTCAAACATGGCGCCGAGTCATGTGGTAAACATCCTGGGGAGTGGTTTGGACCGTCAGCAACCGCTAGATGTATAGAGTATGCACTAAATAACTCAGCCGCCCGAGCACGAGACTTACCAGTGAACAGGGCTCTCTCAGCACAATGCGGAAACATAGCGCCCAGAGTATATGTCACAAACGATACCTCAGACGTCTACGAAGATAGCTTCTTGCGAGTGGCTCGCAGTGGTTCGGGCAGTATACAACCCACATTAATACTGCTAGGGACTCGACTAGGAATCGACAACGTCACGCCAGTGTACTGGGAGGGACTCAAAGCTGTTTTGCAATTGCCACAGTCGGTAGGCATCGCAGGGTATGTCTACATCCCCAGCGCCTGGCCATAGCTGGTAACAAAAGAATGCTGATACCCTTGACGTGCAACAGGGGTCGTCCTTCCGCGTCTCACTACTTCATCGGCGCGCAAGGCTCGCACCTCTTCTATCTTGATCCCCATACCACGCGCCCCGCACTCCCATACAGCACTGGTGGTAGGTTCCCCTCCAAGGAGGAAATCAGCACATACCACACTCGCAGACTCAGACGCATTCATATACAAGATATGGATCCAAGTATGCTAATAGGCTTCCTTGTGAGAAATGAGGATGATTGGGACGATTGGAAGGGGCGCATAGGCTCAATGATGGGAAAGCCAATAATACATGTGTTTAAGGGAGCGGAAACTACTTACAACCAAGGCAGAAGGGAGGCACTCGATGAAGTCGAGGCGTTGGATGACGCTGAATAGAACAAAGCGCATGCGAGTGCAAGGCGCCACCCCGTTAGCCTCAAAGCATCGAAGAGCAGAATATGTTAGAGTAATTCAAATTTCGAACCCTAGTCTGAAAGTTGCTACTGCGCAACCATACCCAGGAGCACCGAGTTATGTTACAACGCATTCACGTCTCGAATAAAACCATGAAAAACATTTGGCCCAATGGGGAAAAACAAAGCCATCCCGTGACGCATTAAAAATCCCGCGAACACCCTGTACCCACCACCTCAAACCATAACAGATAACGAGGTAGTAAAAGACAATCCTGCATAAAGAAACAAACAACAAAAGAAAAGAAAACAGTTTATTTGGCAGAAGAGGAGTACTTTGTCACAGCCTTGGTGCCTTCCGACACGGCATGCTTCGCCAGTTCACCAGGCAGGATAAGTCTGACACTGAAATAAAAAAAAATTAGCAAACCAACATGGAATCGACATTTATGATGACGTACGAGGTCTGGATCTCCCTTGATGAGATAGTGGACTTCTTGTTATAAGCGGCCAATTTGGAGGCCTCAGTTGCGACACGCTCGAAGATGTCTGCAAGTAGATTAGCGAATAACTTCACCATCAAAAATAAGGATGAAATACCATTGACGAAGGAGTTCAAGATAGACATGGCACGAGTGGAAATTCCGGTATCGGGATGAACCTGTTTCAAAACTACACTTGACATTAGCCTGTGAACTCTGAACTAGAGTAACATTGTCACATACCCTTGTAGATATAAGAAGAGTAGGTCTCCTTCCTGGTCTTTCCGCGCTTCTTCTTGTCACCAGAGGCAGCAGCCGCAGTCTTCTTGCCAGCTTCCTTCTTCTCAGCGGGGGCCTTGCCGCCAGCTGGGGCCTTGCCACCAGTGCTGGGCTTCTTCTCAGCAGCCTTGGGTGCCATTTTGTTCAAGTGATGTGGGTAATGAAATTTGACAAAAAACTAAAGTCGATAATATCGAAGGATGGCGAAAGTCAAGGCGTTGAAATCGTTGATAAAGGTAGACGTGGAATGAGGAGGAGAACAGAAATGATGGAGACGCGGTGACGAGGGAGGCGCGCTACTTATACTAGCCTGCGAAAGTGCAGTTGATCCTGGGTGTGCAAAGGAAGCAGAATTTCAATACTGTCACGGTTGTGTATGATCTGTATGATTAGGTGAGGGAAAACGCGTCTCCAGCCGTGGACAAATGACTAAGATCACAGCAAGATGACAGTATTGAAAGATATATTCATAGATTACGACGCTTAACCATATTAGGAACAATACCACAACAACTTTACACGGAATCATGGCAGGCGCATCTGGCCAAGCTATGGGTGCCTCGGACGATGATCTCCACTGTGATTGGCCAACCCCGCTAAGCGAGAGGGTGATCTGAAGGGCGTCTAGGCGGCCCAACGTCACCCTCACCGCGTCGTTATAAATGTCCGCCGCTTCCTCGCGCTGGCCAGTTACTTTTGACACCGTACCCAAATCATTGCTATCGTGTTTCATCGACGACCTGAATAACCCTTTCTCTTCATATTTTCGAATCTCGTCAAACCATTTTCAACCACAAAAATGACTGGAGGCAAGTCTGGAGGCAAAGCCAGCGGCAGCAAGAACGCGCAATCGTATGAATGAGTCTTTCCCCCTATTTACGTCTACAATTCAAACTAATTTATCCATAGCCGTTCTTCTAAGGCCGGTCTCGCGTTCCCCGTCGGCCGTGTCCACCGTTTGCTCCGCAAGGGCAACTACGCTCAGCGTGTTGGTGCTGGTGCGTCCCCACAGCCCCCGTCCCTTATAGTATATTTACTTACATGTACTAGGTGCACCCGTCTACCTCGCAGCCGTCTTGGAGTATCTCGCAGCTGAAATCCTCGAGTTGGCCGGTAATGCTGCCCGTGATAACAAGAAGACCCGTATCATCCCCCGCCATCTCCAGCTCGCCATTCGTAATGATGAGGAGTTGAACAAGCTGTTGGGCCACGTCACTATCGCCCAGGGTGGTGTTTTGCCTAACATTCACCAAAGTAAGCGTACCGGACACTCGTATATTGGATTGATGCTAACATGGAACCAGACCTTCTTCCCAAGAAGACCCCCAAGAGCGGAAAGGGTCCTAGCCAGGAGCTGTGAATTATTTGTTTTTATTTGGGTTTTCTCATTCGGCGTGGTTTGGTTCTCTTATTGATGTGATAACGGGGTTCTGGACTGGGCACGTTTATGGCTCTGCGTTTGTTTTTTTCTGTTTTAATTTTATGGTTGTACATTATGTCTACGGGCATGGAATGATACCGACAGCTTTCAAAGGATATGAGCTTTCGGCACATTGGCTTTAAGGGATGTGTATGTCCCCAATGATAAGTTACCATTTTCATCCGACGGTTATCTATGCAATAAGTATGTTGGTTTCCAACGTAAAACCTCGCTCTCCTGCACAGCGAGTACTATTATCTAATTTGAGCACATGTGGCTGTATCGGTAGCAGTGTGGTTATACAATATCCATTTCCTATCTGAAAACCAAATTAACTTAAACACAACCTCCTTCGATTCTCTTTAGTGGCTGCCCGAAGCATCTGATCAAACATTAGTGGGCTAAAGTATTGGGTGGCATAACCATGGTTGACGTACACGGCAATTGGCGAGCAGGTAGATTCCTTTCATATTTGTTACCTTTAGAAGAGTCAGTCATTCCATTCATATAACAGGAGAAAGCCCTGTGTCTTTGAGAATACATACCACCCGGAGCAGTGGGTGCTCGGTACGGGTCTGGATGCTTCCAAGTTTCTAATAGTTTTTCTGTCTCCCGCAGCAGCACCTGCTAGTTTGTGAGATACTGTATGCATAAACCATGTAGCTGAGAAAATCGAGCCGCATATACCTTCTGTTGACGAGGATCGCGGACATTCTTATTCGCATCGAAAAGGGATCGTATATATACTGCTTGCCCGCGCCAAATCTGCCTGTGCACAGCCCAGTCAAGAGCAAGCTTTAGGGAGCGTCGATAAAGCGACCTGTGAGGTAGGTTTAATATGGCTCCCTCATGATCATTGCTCCAACTGCGACCAACTTACGCAACAGGGTGAAGGGCCATGGTGTGTCACGTAATAGGAATTGAAAGACTTGAAGCTTGTCTGTATAGCGGAAAGAGTCTGTCTGAGCTGGAATGAGCCTCTCCGCGGAAAATTGATGCAGTGTGTTTCGATGCTCACCCGGTTTACTACACAAGTGTAGCTTTGTCTTTCTCGCGGTGAAGTCCTGAGTGCGGAAACTTCCCAGATGGTGCTTATGGATTGCCGAAGAAGCGTAATAATAATACTCCGTTCATTTGCCGGCTACAGGGATTGCAGGACCGCTTTGAGGGAAATTCCGGTTGTCTCGGCCCGGCCTTGCACCCTTTGGCCGCTTAAGTTTCGTCACTCACTTTATCCCTACTTACCGGTAGATGAACCCTTAGCTCTAGTCAGTTCTGGGGGAGAAAAAGGAAGGAAAAAGAAGGCCGTGCTCGTCCTATTTCCTCTTGTACATCACTTACATTCACGACTTGATTCCCTACATTCATTTTCTACAATTTGCGAAATACATTGTTGTCTTTTTGTCCAACCTCTGAACCTAGGTCATCATGGCTTTTCGCTTACCTCTTCACCGTCTCCCCGAACAAAATCTGCGGACTATACCTAGATCTGCCCACAGCTCTCGTAACATCAGCCTGGGAACCCGCAGGAATCTCACCTCGGCTGCGCTCCGCAAATGTGTCAGGAATGCTAACAGGCCTGCTTCTGGTGTACCACAGGTTCTGGGGTAAAGCCGCCCACTCAATGCTATCAAGTGCCCTCTTTACAAACCAGCTTACACTACTGTAGGGCCAATGTCTTTCGATCTAGTTTCGCTCCCCTTGGCGGCTATCAGATTCGCACCTATGGTATTATAGCCTCTCTTGCTTTCGGAATCCCGCACTAACAACTTTTTTCAGCGGACACCATAGTTAAAGTTCCTCAGATGGCAGAATCTATCACCGAGGGTACTTTGAAACAGTTCTCCAAACGTATGTTCGCCAATACTTCTTTACTAGCTTGCGCTCACTCTTGCAAAAGAGGTCGGGGATTATGTTGAGAGAGACGAAGAAATAGCAACAATCGAGACCGATAAGGTGAGTGAGACTTACATCTTCGTGCGCGAAAAGAGATTTTTCTGCTGATACCCACCCGTTCTAGATTGATGTGTCAGTCAATGCTCCTGAAGCGGGAACCATCAAAGAGCTTCTCGTAAACGAGGAAGACACCGTTACTGTTGGACAGGAACTGGCAAAGTTGGAGCTGGGAGGTGCGCCTGAGACCAAAACGGAGGAGGCAACCGAAAAGCCGAAGGAGCCCGCACCTGCAGAAGAATCCAAAGCCCCCGAGCCAGAACAGCCCAAGACCGCAAAGGCCTCTTCAGTCTCTGAAAAGCCTGCCGTATCTGAACCCGGACCTTCCAAGCAGCCACAGCCCGCTGCCTCTAAGCCAGAATCTCGCGATGATGCTAAGCCGAGCCCTGGAAATCGCGAAGAGCGAAGGGTATGTTCTCTTTTCTTACCGTATCCTTGCCTACTACTATTAGTCTTGTCTTTCTTCTGGTCTTGTGCTGATCAACTCATAGGTGAAAATGAACAGAATGAGACTGAGGATAGCTGAGCGTTTGAAGCAATCTCAAAACACGGCCGCTTCCCTGACTACGTTCAATGAGGTGGATATGTCTTCTCTTATGGAGTTTCGGAAGTTATACAAGGACGATGTGCTTAAAAAGACCGGTGTTAAGCTCGGCTTCATGAGCGCGTTTTCTCGTGCTTGTGTTCTGGCTATGAAAGACATCCCGGCTGTTAACGCATCGATCGAGGGGCCCAATGGTGGCGATACCATTGTCTACCGTGATTACGTTGATATAAGTGTCGCTGTCGCCACTGAGAAGGGCCTTGTAACGCCAGTAGTGCGCAACGCCGAAACCATGGATCTTGTTGGAATTGAGAAGGCTATTGCGGATCTCGGAAAGAAGGTAAGCTGCAGACATTCATTTTTGTTCATTGGCTTTGCTGACCATAAAATTTGCCAGGCTCGCGACAATAAGCTGACCATTGAGGATATGGCGGGTGGCTCTTTTACCATCAGCAACGTGAGTAGAAATACATGTACATGTCTGGCCTTGTGTATTTGTGTTAACATTGATACAGGGTGGCGTCTTTGGATCCCTCATGGGTACGCCGATCATCAACCTACCACAGACAGGTATGTTTAACACCACACTTTTTTGAGGAGTTCATCTAACCATCGAAAGCTGTTCTTGGACTCCACGCCATCAAAGAAAAGCCAGTTGCTGTGAATGGCAAGATTGAGATACGCCCTGTATGTCTCCTTTGCCACGCCCTTGCCTCTGCTGGTAGACTTGTTGCTGATGCTTTAATAGATGATGTATCTTGCTCTAACCTATGACCATCGCCTTTTGGATGGCCGGGAGGCTGTTACTTTCCTAGTCAAGGTTCGTTCACCACCCCTCAACATGAGCCTTTGGAATCCATCACTAAGCGCAATTCAATGCAGGTTAAAGAATACATTGAGGATCCTCGCCGCATGCTTCTTGGCTAAGCGTCTGTGCTCTGCTCATTCGCCTAATGGCTTTGCTAAGTATGCTACTTCCTCCTCACAACACCTGCCCCATGGCTTAGATATTTTATTTTGTAGATTAACTACTTTGTGCGCAAGATATTTATTATCAATTCCATGTTAATCAAGTAACTTTAAGCATCATAGCTCTCTTAGGTCGTGGGACCTTTTACCCCGCTGTTTGCACTGTACCTTTTCAGACCAAGGAACCACATTCACTAATATGCATAGCTTAATGGGTGTTGTTATTTGAGTCCTACCCTATCCTTCAATCGCTTCGTCTCTGCGCGGCTCAACCCCCAGAGCTGTCCGCGCTCGAGCTGGATCAGTACAGGCGGCTCAAGAACCTTCATGATCTTAACCAACGTGTCGAAAACCGCACATTTGAACTTATCCATGGGGAAATTCGCGGAAATCGTACGCATGTGAACATTGAGAGAGGTCCCATCCGGCGGCTGGAGATAGCTCATGCACTCTATAAACGCTTGATTCATGTTTGCCATTTGACTCTCGGCCCAGGTGATATGCTTGTTGAGAGAATCTGAGGACTGGGACTTTTGGTATTCTTCGACTGCAGCCTGCATGACGAATTGCGCGGCAGTATCAGCCCACGTCGCTTCGGATAACCTGGCACCAACAGCGTAGCAGAGAGATATGAAAGACCCGGCCAACTCAGAAAGTGAAATTGGGTTTTCTTCTGGCCAATATCTACTAAAACTTAATCGGGATTCGCGAGCCTGAGAAGTAATACATCCATCTGGATAACATCGGAAGGTATTGGCAAATTCAAATAGTCGGACCTTGACTTGAATGTCATCTGGGAGTCGCCCAGAGTTTGGAAGAACTGATTTAATGGCTAGAGATGAATAGAAAGCAAGTCAGCGTGTCTTTTGAAATGACATGTTAAGCACATACCGTGTACTATATAAATATGGCAATCAAGGTCGCATTCGTTTGCCTGCTCCTGAGCTGCCACTCCGCTGGTGTTTACCAATCTGTACATGGAGGTGCAAAGTAGGTAGTCCAATATTAACAGGTCTACGTCAGACCGAGTATCGGAGTCTGCTTCCATTGTGCATTATTGTTATGCAATATCATAATTTTTAATGAGATAGCGAAGATATCTCATTCCTGTCCACGGAGTATGAACCGTAGTACATATCAATGATATCAATGATCAGAGTTAGGTCAACTTTTGCGAATGCAAGAGCCAAAGGCAGCAAGCACCAAAGGCGGTGAGACATTGCTGAGTAAGTCTGACAGGTTAAGTAGGTAACTAACCAGTTACTCGTGACCTTCAATGTTAGAGTGGCGTCATACAGGACGGTACGTCCAAACCTCATCCTTTTGATATGTTGACGAGCCCAGTACAAATATTGAAGGAAATCCTAGATGCTAAGCAGCATAGGATGATAGTATAGCCTACTTACAAGCCTCAGGGTCTTCTTGCGATCAGCGTCGCTTTCTAAATACCAAGTTCCCCCGGATCGCCTTACTCTTACTTTAGGTAGAGCATACCTCCCCCGCATGATTCAAAGCTATCTAAATGCACATCTAGTGCTGCGGAAGGCCACCACAAAGTGCATCTCAATGGCGTGGTATTGCTCTGGCTCAACCAATGCGGAACTGGTTGATAATCTCTTCAAGGCGGGATTGGTAAAGAATGAAAGAGTAAAAAATGCTATGTTGGGGGTGAGTGGTTCCTTCCATTTATTTCTTAACGTCTCATGTGCCGTGCCATCTCCTTACCCCGACCCCGCGCAAAATTGCGGGGCTGTGGCTCTTACAGTAGGATCGGGAATGTAACAGCAAGGTAAAGGAAGAGATGTCGGCGAGAGAGCATTGGCTGCACATGCTTCCCTACCCAAGACGTGTCTCTGACATCAAGGTGCAAGGTTGATCGAGCCCATTATGCACCCTCAAGGCCTTACTCGGACTCCCCACAGCCTATTGGGTATGGTGCGACAATCTCCGCTCCCCACATGCACGTTCATGCATGCGAGTACCTCATCGACTTCCTCAGGCCGGGTTCGCGGGTACTCGATATTGGCTCGGGTTCTGGATATCTGACCCATGTCCTCGCAAACCTTGTTACAGATCCCTCTATACCTGATGACTTAAATGGCCACGTTATTGGAATTGATCATATACCAGAACTTGTTGACTTGGCTGATAAGAATATGCACAAGTCGGACCAAGGCCGCAAATTGCTAGATACAGGAAAGGTGAAGTTTATTATTGCTGACGGCCGTTTGGGATGGCAAGAGGGAGCACCGTATGATGCTATCCACGTTGGTGCAGCGGCGGAAAAGCTCCACCCGGCATTAATCGCGCAACTCCGTGCCCCAGGCCGAATGTTTATCCCCGTTGACACGGAATGTGACGGGAGTGCTCGTGGATTCGGCGGCGGCCAATACATTTGGGTAGTGGACAAGAGGGTGGACGGGTCAGTCCACAAGGAAAAGGTGTTCCAGGTTAGCTATGTTCCGCTGACCGACCCGCCAAAGAAGTAAACAAACAGTTGGATATAATGTCCTTTTCACATTCTACATAAGCAATGAAAGTGACCTTGACTTAACTATGTGGAAGAGTGCCGGCATTCGAGTTTACATGGATAGTATCACAAAAGTCCAGAGCATTTTCGCCGAGATTATAGCAATAGTTATGATCTGATTGCTTTGAAGTTTTGAGCTTAGTGGAATAAAAGTATACAGAATCTTCATCTTGAATATACACACTAGCTGTCAGTATCAGCGGAAAGGGAAACCTCCTGGGAAATTGAACCCTTGACCCGAGAACTTAAACTGTGGTCCGCCTTGCTGGAAGAAAAAGTGTTGACCGCCTCCTGGCCCGAATGGGCTTCCTTGAAACGGGTTGCCCCTATGAGATTCCGGGTCATTAGGGTCATCACCACTGTCGTAACGCGCCTTGAGTTCGGGGTCAGAAAGGATTTCATAGGCTTCATTAATTGCAGCCATCTTCTTCTCGGCGTCCTCTTTCGTCACACCCTGGGACTTAGCTTTATCGGGGTGATGTTGTTTAGTCAGTTGGCGGTAGGCTCTTTTGATAGTCCGGTCATCAGCATCTCGGCTGACACCCAAAACTTTGTAATAGTCCCTCTGTTTTGAGCGCTTCAATAAGACATGTGCCTTCTGCAAAAGTGATTGGACGTCTCTGGACCCGGGGTGATGCTCTTTGGCTGTATTCAGCGTGTTTATAGCGTCATCAAAACGCTCTTCGTCAAGAGCCGCTTGACCCTGAAAGAGCAGCGCTGGCAGAGAATAAGGATTGACGTCGAGGGTTTCAGAGCAGTACGGAGAAGCTCGCCTGGGCATATGCGCCTGAGTAACCAATGCGTTAGCCAATTGGAACCATGTCAACTGGACACCTTCCTAGGGGCACAAACCTCGCGGTAAGCTTCGCAGGCGCGCTCCACCAGCAAACCATAGAGATTGTTGGGGGCCGCGGGGTGGATATGGCCTGCTTCCTTAGCCTCCCTCACGTCGCCTTTCACATCGCCAAGAAGTCCGCTTTCATCGCCTACACCTACAAGCAAGTTGATGGCATTGCTAAACTTCCGCGAAGATATTGAATCTTGTAGTTTGCGCAACTGTTTGAGGAGTTTCTTCTCTTTCCGATAAAGGCCGTTGCACGGTTTTGAATCGGGATCGAAATGGAGACACCTCCGAATTTGTGAAATGCCACGTTCTTGATCTCCCAGAGAATAGAACAGCATGTAGGACATTTGTAAGTGCGGGTCCACCAGACTTGGGGAGATGTGTAGGACATGGGCAAGGTCACTTATTCCTTCTTCTACATCACCTTTCTCGAAGCGACAGTGCGCGCGAGTTTGTCGTAGACTTAGGGAGGCGCTTGCCTTAAGAACAGCCACATTCGCATGATTTACGCAGGCCTCCCAGGCGCCGTGTTGCTCAGCATTCTGTGCAAGAGCTGCAGCATTCCGTGCCTCTTGAATCTCATTGTATTCCAGAGATGACTTCTTGCCGGCCATCTCCAGATCCTTCAACGCGCCTTCCCAGTCAGCACTGTTAGCTCGAAGGCGAGCCCGTTGAAGGAGGGCACTCTCAAAATCTGGTTTTAACCGCAGAACTCGGTCGAAATCATCTAATGCCTGAGAACCTTTACCCAGTGACAAATAAGCCGCACCCCGCTGGAAGACAGTGATGTAATTCGTAGGATCCCTCGACACAGCCGCGTCGAAATAGAGTAATGCATCGCGGGGCGATCCACCAGCGAGATGTGTCTTCGCCGATGCGACCAGCGACGACAGAGGGGTGTCTGAAGGAATATGTGAAGGTTGAAGACCATAACTGGCTGATGAAACGGCCAGAAAGATCGTAAGAGTCTCCAAGGAAAGGAGCATCATACTTACACCAACGCAAAAGGCAATCTGGTTCGGACGGGTCAGTTGATCACGGGCCTGGTCAGTTATCTGAAGATGTGCGGTTATTAAGAAAAACGGTAGAAGAAATCCAATGAGTGCGATTGCAAGAGCAGAATGAATGCCCTTTGAAGAGGCAGAAAACGTGTTTACATGATCAAGTCTTTGGCGATGAGGGTGATAAGCAACCAAAGGAGAAATGTATGCCAAGACTCCAGTCTGGCCTTTACAACTCAATTACATATGGTAAATTACGGTTGTGAAATGCTGAGTATTGCAATGAAATAAAGATGAAATCAGTTCTTGAAGGGTGGCTATTCGAGACTTTGCAGTGGGTCTCAATATGCATTCACTAAGAACTAGACTCTGTAATTTGGACAATTACACTTCTAATGACTAATACTCTATTCAGCTTTCAATGTATGTATATGTCAAAATCACGTGACTCGGTGTCTGGTTGAAAGGGAGCGAAACAAGTACTGGTAGATACTGCATGCGCACGCCCATTGAACAATTGTGCTTATGTGAAGCTCATGGACTATTTGTGAGACTCACGTACTCTCCTATTTTGAGAACAAAAAATGCTTAATGTCCCTTGGATATGCTCTCGATGCCTGACGCGGTTTGGGACTAGAGGTGCTATAAAAAGGCCGTGGCCGACTCTGCAATGGCGGGGACTGAATACAAGTATGGGTAGTTGAGAGACAGTGTTTAGTATCTCTCAATGCATGTCTAGTGTTCTGTGGGGTTACTACATGACTGACAAGTCAGTTAGGCCCTGACATTTCTTTATCGCTGCTCTCCCGCGCTCGCTCTTTGGCAGCAGAGCATTCTAAACTCTCTGCTCACTTAGCGGATTCCTTTGACAAAAAATAGCAAAGCGGGTCGGCGAGCTAGCACCGATTGCAAATGTCTTGGAAGAATGGGACAGGACCAATGAGGTATGTCCGCACTCCTTATTAAATGGGATAATTTACTAATAGAGCGGCTTTGAACCCTTTCTTAGTCTATATCAGAACTCAATGCTCTGCTTGATGACCCGGATACTGACCTTGAGCTCAAATCTCTGGCTATTGAGGACCTAGAAACAGTCAAGGCTGCTTTGCCAACCATATCGGAAAACATGAAACAGACCCTTGTACCCCGTCACCCTTTCGCAGCGCTTCCTTGCCTTCTTGAGATACGGCCTGGCGCAGGTGGGGATGAGGCGGGGCTGTTCGCCTTCGAACTCCTGAGGATGTATACTGCATTTTGCTCTCGTCGTGGGTTTCGGTCCAATGTCATTAAGCTCGAAGTGGGAGATGGCCCGGCGGAGGATCGGCTGAGTGAAGCAGTAATGGAAGTTGAGGCGGATGGGGCTTATGAGATGCTCAGAACCGAGTCAGGGGTACACCGTGTGCAGAGAGTTCCAGCAACAGAGACTAAGGGACGTACGCACACCAGTGCTGTGAGCGTGATGGTTCTTCCTAGCTTCCCAGAGACAGGAGGTGGCATGGATAACGCGCTCAACTTTGATGACCCAAGTAGTGACTACTACGTTGATCCCCAGGAGGTTCGTAGCGAGAAGATGCGAGCTGGTGGTGCAGGGGGACAGCACGTGAACAAGACAGAGTCAGCTATTCGCCTGACTCACATGCCCACAGGTATCGTTGTCTCCATGCAGGATTCTCGATCTCAACACGCAAACCGCAAAAAAGCCTGGCAGATCTTACGCGCCAGATTAGCCGAGGCGAGGCAAGAAGCTCGTGAACAGGAAGTCGTTGAACTCAGAAGAGGGGTGTTGGGCGGTGTTGCTCGTATGGGTCGCGGGGACAAAATTCGCACGTACAATTATGGCCAGAATCGTTGCACAGACCATCGGAGTGGTATCACCATACATAGTTTGAATAATGTTTTGGATGGTGGTGAAGGCCTCGAAACTGTTATGGAGAGTGTACGATCTTGGCTGGTGGACCAAGAAGTGGCAGCCCTGGTTGCTGACGAGCTAGCAAAAGACAAGGAAGCCTCACGCCCCTAAAAACGAGTCAAGGTGTTAAAAAGGCGCTGAATTTTGTTCTATATACTTGTACTATTCTTCATTCAAGTGCTGTAGATATAGAAAATGCAGTGCTTCTGTGTCAGTGCTATGTAATAAGATACAGCAAATGCATATTAGCTGCGATGCTGCGATATAGCGTTTAAGAGACCAATTGGTGCCATGCGTTCATTGCTTCACCAGCATCAGATATATTGTCTCGTTGGGTCTAGAGAATCCAGGGCGTCCATCGTCTTCTCGTACCTGTTAATATGAAAGCGGTTAGTTCTCAAGCCTATATACGATGGTTGAACTCAGTGTAAACAAACATTGTGAACACTATGCCTCCGCTCAAGATCAATCTGGCAAGTCGCGGAACAGCTCCGGACCAGAATGTAAATAACCCCTCATCTTTGAATATCCTTGCTGCACAGACAAAGCTATTCTTATAGTTCTTAGAAGCTTCAAGTGATTGCATTCTGCTGTCGAATTAGTCTTGAAAAAAGCAAATTACACACAATGCGGCCATCAGCAAACCTGGTTTTCACAGTATCAAGAGGCTGTGTGACATATCTGTGTAGAATGGTGTATTAGTTGTCTTTGCTTCTCATACCTGTGGAGCAGAAGCAGCAGCTGTTCAAGTATTGTATTAACTCACACTGTTATGAAGCCTGCCATACCGCCGATTGCGAAGGTGCTTGCAGTTCCCAGCTTTTCTCCAGGTGCGACATAGCTTTCAGCTAGTTGCTTTAACATAGTATAACTCGAGAATCTGGTCGCGGAGTTGGCGGCTTGCCTTGCAGTTGTAGGAACAAAACCCTGAAAAAAACCCCGAACACCTCGCTCCTGGAATATCAGTTTACTGCCATGCAAGAATCCCCGCATACGAGGGTTTGCGGATTTGCGATCGTCAATCCTGCGGGTGTTTTATACATCAGCTTCACCATGTATCGTTGCATGAAGTAGTCAAGGGCACGTAGCAAGGGGGCCCTTTAAGGCAACGGACAATTGCGTTTTAATACTCTCGAATGGTGTCACTGCTAAAAGAGATTCAGTGAAGCCAGCTCCAAAGCCAGCAATTACTGTTCTTGGACCCGAAATCTTGCCATTCTCATCCTGAAGAAGTGACTTGAATCTGTCGAAAGCGACGAACCCTGCAAGCAAAACCCTAACGTAAGCACACCAAACACTCGGGCACTCAGGATAGAACTCACGAATGCCTGCCTTGAGCGAATTTCCTATAATCAGAGTTGTGCAGCCGGCGTACCACTGCTTTCCAAACGGGGGCCATGGCAGCTTTTTTCCGTCCGGTAGTCTGCGATTGAGTTGCGACCGGGTTTTGGCGACTGGACACGTTGAGTAAACCGACGTAGGAGTAGCCAAGGGCATGAGCCTTACATTCAGCCGGGTAAGTGATTGCTAGTATAATTAGCAAAAGTCCTGGGTACAGGAGTACATGTGCCTTGATATGGGCGAGCATTACCGATTTCAATGGCACCTGCAGTCGAGCCCGCAATGATAGACCGCAAACTGCTAGGCTGGGTACGCGCATTAGCATTAGGGACTATAGACTGCGAAGGACAATGCACCTTTCGGTTGTGATCCTTTTCCGTAGTACTCATTTCGCTTTTTACCCCCTCTTCTCTTTGGGAAAAAGAACACCAAGAGCTTGATCACCACTGCAACAATGGATGTAAACCAACTTGGGCAAAGTTGGTCTGAGGCTAGTAAACACAATAATACGGGCGCCGGGGAGGACAGAGCACGCAATATCAGACCAAAGCAAACCCGAGTTTGCATTTGAGTGTCTACTTGTAAGTACTAGTAATGACTACTAAATTATGAGTGAAATCTTCAAGCTTCTACATTTCGGAGGGTAAATTGTCATTTTGTAGATGCTACCTGAGTGATGTCGACCGCTGGCTACAGGCGTAAGCCAAACATCTGACAGTAACCCTCCTCTTTGTTGGTTTTCATTGGTTTTCAAACTTTTTTTTCTTTTTTCTTTCGTTTTCTTTTTTGCTTTCTTTCTTTTAGTCTTTCATTTCATTGAAAGCTTTCGTAGATTCCCCCCCAGGTCTCCAGGTTTCTCTTCTCCCAGCATTTTGGTCACAGATTGGAACTGCACCAAATCGAGGCTGTCCTGATCTGACGGATAGCAAGATGCACTATCTTTGTCAGGATGAAAAGGGGTATGAAGCATAGAGCGGGTTTGAACACCACCTGCAAATAAAGCCAATCTCTCAATGTGTTGACAAATAAGGAAAAGAAAGGCTTCATATCCACAACGCCGAATAAATTCAGAACACCCAATGACCGTGCAGCAGCTCGAGAGACAAAGAGAGCGGAAAAAAGAACCCAAACACCGATGTGGACTGCCCCAATACATTGCGCCGGCCTATGACATCAGACAATAGCTTAGATCATCCAAAGCTGCATGATAAGTGCCGACAAAAGGATAGAGAAAACGGGAAAGGCGAAGCAGAAAAGTAGGGGGAAAAGCCCAGTCAATGAGTTGAGGTACTTGGCGCGATGAGTTATCCGAAAACCATCCACCAACGCCGAAAACATGACAAAGTGCTGGGTGACAACATGTAAACGCCGTTTGTGCTCAAAATCCCATAGAATGCAACATCAATATTTACATAAACCCTACCACCTTTCTAGTGTCGAAAGGGGGAAAGACGACGACGAGCGAGCTAACGGTGGCGGAGAGGGTAAGATAGGCCCTTGAGGGGACTGGAACAGAAAGGTAACAAAAATATGATACAGATGTGGTCACCGTTATCATATCACCATTGTCGAAAACAAACAAGGGAAGTCATAACACACCATGTCAAGTTTGCATTGAAAATGAGGAGGAGAAAAAGAAAAGACTTTGATTGTGGCTTGTCAGGTAACATGGCCAAGGTCGTTCAAGATTGAGAGCATTTATAGTAACAAACGAGACAAAAAGGAGAGGAGAAAAAAAAGATGTTCTTACCAAACCGATGTCAATTTGGCGACACCTGCGCAGGTTGACTCTTGCCACTCTGTTGTTGATTTTGGGAAGTACCAAATTTGTTCAACTCATTTTGTAGATTGCGGCGCTGACCTTGGCCTCGGCCTCCACGATATGAACCTCGGCCCCGACCGAATTGATAATGCCCTCCATTCGAGTGATTGTTGTGGCGGCGTTCTCCAAAGTTCTGGTTTTGATTTCCACTCATTGCGAGCTGTGCTTGTGATGCATTCGCGATTGGGCGTGGAATGGTTTCCGGCGATTCATATACGTATAATTTCTTGTCGATATTTTGAGGGATAGGCTGTATTTCGGTTCCCAGTTCCTGCTCAATCTTATATAGATTGAAACGATCATCCCAGTTGATGAGGTTGATTGCTAGACCCAGATGACCAAAACGACCAGATCGGCCTATTCGGTGGAGGTAGGTTTCAGCGTTCTTGGGAAAGTCAAAGTTGATCACGACGTTTACCGCTTGAATATCAATACCTCGAGTTAGCAAATCAGAGCAAACAAGATTGCGGCATACGCCGTTCCGGAAATCATGGAAGACTCGATTCCGATGTTGTTGTAGCATCCTTGCATGTGAGTAAAAGCAGGAATAGCCTAATTCTGTGATCTTCTTTGCGAGAAGCTCAACGCGATTTGTTGAATTGCAGAAGATGATTGATTGATTGATTTGAAGTTTGGAGAAAAGAGTGTTTAGGCAATGGACTTTTTGCTTTTCTTCCACAAAAGCATAGTACTGAGTGATTCCTCGGAGGGTGAGTTCATCCATAAGGTTGATCTCGTAAGGATTGCGCATGTGTTTATCCTAACAAGGACGTCAGCCAAAGAGTAATGAAAAGGAATTAGATGAAACGCACCTTAAATGATTTCACAATCAATGGAAAAGTCGCACTGAAGAGCATGACCTGACGGTCTTTAGGATGAAATGACAATAGCTGTTCAATTACAGGAGTGAATTCAGGAGACAGTAACTTGTCGGCTTCATCCATGACGAATGTAGGACATTCAGAAAGGTCAGCAACGCCCTTGCTAGCCAGATCTAGAACACGGCCTGGAGTTCCCACAAGGATGTGGACGGCGTCGTTCAACCTGATGATGTCATCCATCAACCCAGTTCCTCCAGTGGTGACCATTACGTTGATCCCCAGATGTTTCCCGAGAGTTTTACAAACATGAGACGTTTGGAGAGCAAGCTCTCTGGTTGGAACAAGGATGAGTGCTTGCGTTTTGGTGCTTTTAGGATTTATGCGTTCTAATGTGGGGATGACGAAGGCCGCTGTCTTTCCGGTGCCATTCTTTGCTCGGGCCAAAATATCCCTACCAGTCAGAGCAACTGGTATCGTTTCTTCTTGGATGGGCGAGGGCTTTTCGAAACCAGCTTCGAAGATGCCCATCATAAGTTCGCGTTTAATATAGAAATCTTCAAACTCGAGGCCTTTGGTGGCCGTCACGTCCTAAATTGGGGTTAGATTTTGAAGAGATAAGCGTAGACGTTAGAGGCAGCAAACCTCAGTCTGTGGCCGTGCATCTTTTACAGGGGCTTTTAGTTGGTCCTTCCACCTTGTGTCTGAGCTTGCTTCCCTATAACGACATTACTGAGTAACTTTGTCTAATACCAACGGAACACGCATAAGCACATACCCTAATGTTGTGTTGTTAAGTTGTGAGGCAAGAGCTTCAGCCATGGTGATAATCGCTTGCCCAGATGAAGGATAATGGAGAGAGAAGATTTGGGTATTGAAAGCGTTCGTAAAAATGGGCCTCACGATATCGTAGATGAAGTTGACAGGGTCGAAGCTAAAACAAATGATGGCTTCTGCTGTTCTGGACCTTATGGCAGGTTCCAATGAATGTAAGAGGGGCCGAAGGTATTATAGGTGTACTTGGTTGCAAGTTGGCCTTTGGAAGGCTCGGAAAATGCGTGATTCTCCCGGGAAGTGAGGTAGAATATTCGAAAAAGAGCACAGTGGACAGAAAATATTGGGAGTCTTTGCGTCTGGGTTGAGTGAGATTGCTTGTGGGTGCCAAGGCAAAGTTGGCTGTGAGTGACCTAGTTTCAGCTGTGAAGGAGAGACACTGGCTAGTGTAAATTAGAGGCACCAATGAAGACAGGTAAGATGGCACCGAGCTTCCCAGGATCTCAAACAATATATTGAATGTTGTGAGAGTCGCGTCTGTGGTATTTCACGGATGAGAAGGTTGAGCAACCCTGTAGTGCGAAGTACGATAAAGGTGAAAGATTATGAATGAAAACTTCTGTGGTGAGTGGGCAGTAGCCTCGCCGCCTTTACTGGCCTCTAGCCCTGGAGTAGTACGGCTAGCCGCAAGAAGATCAACTCCAATGAGCTCAGTGTCTTTCTCCACTATTACCAGTACCATCGATTTACAACTCGGAACGATGCCGCTTTTAGGTACTGTACATCATCCCCACGTGACAGTGTTAACTGGTACTATGCTATAGAGTCAAGTGAACTGGCAGCCCTACTAGGTAGAGCTATGGTACTATATCCTATTTTTAGCAGTCAACATGAGGACAAGCAATACGGCCGAAGCTGAAGAAATTGGTGTGTGGCTTATACCATAAGGGCCATGCCTGTTGTGACAATTGACAGTAGGTGTATACAATGGTCATCTATTCTATTACCTCTTGTATCTCGGCAATGTGCTCCTGCCAGTCTATGCAGACCTATTAAATCGCAGTCTAATACACTGTCAATCGTGTTAGATGACACAGTATATTGCCTACAGGACCTCTCGACAGCTGCTGCATTTCTCCACCATGACGCAAGTGTTTTCAGCCCTATATGTAACAAAATGCCCCCAGCATCCAACCATCGAGATGCCATAAAAATATCCCGAACCAGCTTCTGGGTAGGTTAATCCATGAACAAGCAGGGAAACGTAGGGATTTATGTATTTTCCCAATCACTGATCGACTTTGTTGTTTCGTGATGCTAGGCTATCGGAAGAGCCCACCAAGCTCTCTTTCAGTTTCTTGCCCAGGCCCTGGCAGCTTGCCCGACGCAAGAGCCCCGCTTTTGAGATCAATGGTCATTCAAGATGCCTCTAGAACACGGAGCTTGTTTAGGTAGTGGTCTTCCAGTTGATCTGCACCAGTTGGATCAATTAAACGAATGAGCCAGACACTCAGACACTCAGACATTCAGACATATAGTCTATGTTTTGCAAATCCATCTTTCTCGATAATCAAGTTGCATGCTTATTACCTTTCATACGGACTTCTTTACCCCCCTTCTTTGCCCGCCGGTGGCGGAGGGTGTGTAGTATATGACGGAAAATATTGGGCTTTACGTGGAATCAGGACCACTTTGAGGCGTCTATTCTTGTCCACATAATGGGACACTCTTCGTACACATCAGCCCTCGTGGATTGTTATTATTTGCAAAATGTTCTGTACAAAACAGAGTGTCCCCATTCCGATCACTGGTGAAATGTTAATCTGGTCTGCCCTCGTTCAGGTTCTGCCAATCTGAAAAAAAAAGGCACTTGTTAGTTGCAGTACTGATAGCTATATCTGGTCTTGATACTTATACTCACTCCTTCACACGGACATCAGGAGCTAAGCTAATCTCTGCCCTTGAGCCAGGTGTGATTAGTATAAATTGCACACCTACTGACCGCCTAGCGGCTAGCATCTATTGATTGTTTTGTTAGCAAGCACAGTGTAACAGGACTTGGAAAGAAGAGAAAAAAAGGAGACATACAAGCATATCAATTGCCATCTTCCTATTAATGTGGTCCATATACACGTCACTATTAGGCCAAAGTTAGTGACAGCCAATGCGCTTAATGATCACCAACTTACAATTCATCCAAGCAACGGACAGGAGAGCCCATAGCCTCCCAAAGTGCTAATAGAAGACAAACTTGGGAGAAAGACTTTTCACCACCCGAAAGCGTCTTTGCACCTCGCCCAGTGCTATCCTTTGTTATATCAGGTTCGACCTAGGAAGTTTTGTTAAATTGTGTCAGAGGATAAGAACAGCATTATATAATATACCTGTAAATCCAGCAGCTTGCTCTCATGGTCAGTTAGAAGTCGACCACGAAAACTTCTCTCGCTTAGTAAGTACGTAAATTGCGCCTTGGCCCGAGATGAAATGTGAGATCTGAAAATCACCCAACGTTTCTTGCGATGTTTGAGTGTTTCAATGAGAATCTGCAGATACAGTCAACAGACTTGGGCACAAGGGCAAAATCATAGGAGAGAAGACGGGGAGGGTGAAATATACATCCGCAAGTAATCTGAATTCCTCCACTTGCTTAAGGGCGCGGTCATAAGCTGTGGATGCTTTGGCGGCTTCAGCGGCGATCTCATCGCGAGATGCGCCCAATCTAGTAGTTAGTTAGCTCAAGAATCTTGGCGCCGTGCGTTTGAAGTATCTGACTGTTGGTTATAACGTTGTATATCCCTATTAAGCCTGTCCAGCTTTTTGTCCAAACTAGCAGCAGTCTCACCTTCAGGAATTGGAACCCGCGGTGAGACTAGGCTGGCTTTCTCACTGAAGTCGATAACGCGTGCAGCAATTTCCTCTCTTTTCTTATTTATCCTCTCTTTTTCTTGTCTGCTATCATTGATTCGTTCAACCGCAATGTTTTTATCGTTAATGATCTTTCGGCGTTTGTCTTGTCCGGTGCATACTTCACTTTGAGTTACACGGAGCTCTTCCGTCGACGCAGCTATATCGGCATCCTTAGAAGCGATTTGTTGTTTAATGGTTTTAAGCTCCTTCATCATGGTTTCCATGGCCTCCACACTGTCTTTCAATGACCCTTCGTTGATGAGTTTCTCTTCCTTGGCCCCCTGGAGCGTAGCTCGCAGCACATCAAGATGGTCAGCCTCCACAGGTTCTTTGTCAAGTGCATCTGTAAGCTCTTCCACATGGTCTTCCTTCCTTTGTAATGTGATTCGTAACTCATTTGTACTCTTTTCATGCCTCATACGAGCCTGCCTGCACCCCTCCAAGCGAGACCGAGCAGATCGGAATTGCTCTTCCTGATCACTGAGTTTACGTCTGAGGTCCGTTACCACATCACGTTGAACCCTGCAAGAATAAAAGTCAGTGGATAAGTGAGGCAATGGACACATTTAAGGATCACCTGATTTGGGAAGCTAGATCCGATTTCATTCGTGGGTTGCCACTATATACAGGAACCGGCGCCTGGCTTGGCTCCCCCGCACGGTTGTAAGATAGATGGATGCCCCGGCGTCTGTCCATTTGGTCAATACAGTAACACCGCTTCACATTCCTAGGTTTCTGTCCATCAAAGAGTACTGAAGATGCTTCTTCTAGCTTTTCGATTAGAAGCATTTGCTCAATACCATGGTTAATGATCAACTGTCGACGAACGAGTTCGTTGTCAATCTGCATATTTGAGTATATCAACCTAATGTAGCTGGCTCTGCGAATAAAAGACACCTACCTGAAGTACCCGTAAAGCCGTATCAAACTTAAGATCAGGCTCGTGTTCTGATGTATCAATGTACCCATCATTTCCTATAAATATTGGGCATATGCTTCCAGCATTGTTAAAAAGGCTTGCTCTGTAAAGCCACGGAAACCGAGGAAAGTGGCAACGTACCAATTGACATTGTGCATAACACGAGAAAGAATGTCCATGTCTCTTTTAGATGTTACAATGAAGCTGTTTAATGTCGTGCCGAAAGAGTTTTCTAAAATAGATGACCATTCTGGCTTCAGCAGGGTCACATGGCGACCGATGGGACCGACAGGCCTTTCGGTGAAGCCCTGTTCTTGTTGAACAGCCCTCAGAAGAGACGGCATTTTGTCGTGGAAACCTGAGCTCTTGGGTCCTCCTTCTTTGCTTAGACTTCGTAAAAGCTTCTCAGCTTGCTCAACGTCGGCCTTCGTTCTGCCAAGTGGCGCCGCCAATGAATCCACTTCTTTCCCAGCCACTTCCAACTCTCGGTATAGGCGATCTGTATTGCGTTGATGTTCCTCATACTGTGCACTGGCATGTGCAGCTTCTGCTTTTGCTCGCTCGAGTTGTTCCTGTTTCCTAGTATAACTGCCTCCGCTAAGGTCAGCCAGACGTTGGTTTTCTTCTTCAATTTTTTGCTGCGTTTCGTTTATCCTAGCCTCTGCTGCTTTTAAATAATCTCGTATCTGACGTTGCTGTGCCTGCAATGACCATCAGTAAAAAGCCCGGAAGATCTATACTGGAACATTACCTGCAAATCATGACGTTCAGTCATTTGTTCGTCCCACTTTGCTTTAATCTCCACCTTCTCACTTTGTGCGTGTTCGAGTTTGGCAGTACTCTGTCTAACGTATTCAGCAGCGGCTTCAGTTTCCTCCTCAGCTTCTCGTATAGCAGCGTCAAAGCTGCCCAGCTCAGCTTCAGCGATTGAAATCCTCTCATCGGCTTTAGCTAGTTCAATCTCTAAGGAGCTCCTCATCTACGGCCCATCAGCAACACCGGATTGCAAAACCATAATGCCTGGGTTTCTTACTCTTTCCTGTTCCTCGACCTGAGCCCAAGCCATTTGGCTCCGAACAGTTCTGACCCTGTTCCTTAGGGATTCGTGTTGATCAGATATGTCCAATTTCTGGTTTGCTGCAACTTTGCGCTTTTTTAGGGTCATAATATCTTGCTCTCGCCCCCTGAGCTTCTCCTCAATCTGATCAGCAGATTCTTCGATTAGTCGATAGTCCTGATCAAGCTGCTCCAACTGAACACCTTTCACAAAGAATTTATATTTCTCAGCAGGACTTGAGCTGCTCAAGAATTGGCGGGCCATGTCTTGTGAGAGAACATTCATCGGGTTGTCAAATTGTAATGTGAAAAAGTCGATGATAGCGTCTAGTTCGGCTTTTTTGGTAGAAACTATACGCCCATTCTCTGCCTTAATTTTGAAGCCACTTGTTCCAGTTTTTGTGAAATGACGTTCAATAACAATGGATTTTCCATAGTCATCCGGCATATAGGCACCGTCTCCTTGATTTTTGATGCGCACAACGATAGTGGCACTCCTACAGAACATCAACTAGTAAGCATATAGCCTGTATAGTGATAAATGCACGTACTCTTTGCCTTCTTTGATAAAACTCCTAAGACTCTGACCGCGATTTGTAGCAGATGCTTTGCCACCCAGACAAAGGGTTATAGCTGTCAGAACTGCGCTCTTGCCGCTGCCATTCTTCCCAACTATGAAGTTAATTAATGGCCCCAGTTCGATATAAAAGTGGTCATGACACATGAAGTTGTAGCATTCAACACGTTCAAGAATTCCATGTTCAGCAGGAACATTGGGTTCGTCACTAGCGAAAGAGTACTTCTCCTGGATGAGTTGCGTTGCACGTAACTCAAGCTCGTCCTCGTCGTATTCTAAAGCCTGGGTGATAGACCGCTGAATTCTTTCTTCATTTTCACTGTCACTCAATCCGGTTCCTTCGTATGAGGCTGGAGACTTGGACGTGCGAATACGTTTGCGCTTCTCATGAGCGTTAGCTGGGGTAAAAGACACACACAAAGAATACACACCAAATGACGCGCACTGGACGATGACCTTGACCTGTTATCCTCTCCTTCATCCCATTCCCCTGGCTCTGAGGGTCCCTGTGGGCGCTTTAACGATGACATGGGTAAAACGCGACCGGCTCATACAGATAATCAGTATTCATTCATTACAGAGGCAGTGACAAATATAACAAAATGGTATTAGAAGCCACTATATAGGATCTAGTGGCCTTCCGATCAAGTCGAATAAAACTCATTCAGTGCGAAAGTAGGTCATATTTACCCTATAAGCTTGAGGCGCGTATTGAGTCGCGTAAAATGGCCCCAAATTGGGTTTCCGTTATCTCAGCACCTTAGTGCAGGCCCTCTACAAATTAGGAATAGCTCAGAATGACTGATGTTCCTTGTAAAGGGCCTGATGAAATTTAGGTAGCTCTTTCTAAATCGATTTTTGTTTAATAAATTAAATCTAATGGTTTTCATATAATATATTTTATTTTATTGTTGTTCTCCAGCTAGGTCTTTTTCCCGCTTTTCCCCTAAAGTGTGTTCCTATTGGTCGCTCAGGTGTAACGCCACGTGACCGCGTTCCTGTAGTATTCTACATCGAACTTGCTAGGACGGGGTCCCTAAACCATACCTAGGTAGTGACCTTGAACTGTTTCGCTCGTCTTGGGCAGTGGTCCTTGATCCGCTGGCCTGCCCCTAGTAGATAATAATTAGATTTGTACTAGCTAAGCATAGAAGGAGATATACATACATAGGCAGGAAACTTCTTCCCAACTCTGCCAAATGCCGAGTTTCCACATATCCCTACTTATGAGGTACATATCAATGCACGATATTCTGATTTTGTCAGGTATCTTTTAAGACATTTCCTAGAACATCCCACTTGGCACTAATAAGCGAACGACCATCTTTCATATATATTCTGGGTACCTATGAGGATGGCGTCTCAGGTTGTTTAGGGGTGGCGTAGAGAAACGAAGTAGGTAAAGTATCTATCATGCCCAGGTGGATGGCCCGTCAGGGGCAAAGGGGTGTTAAGAGGCAGAATCTCTGCTCGCATTGGCTGATACTATACTATGTTACTCACTGTACGTCGAAATATTTACTTCACTTTGAAATATCCTTTCTTATTTTTCTCTTCGCGGCATTTTCTACATAAAGAGCAGTGAAACAAAATCACATATTGTATAGACGCGGTGATCAATAATAGCTGACTGAGTCTTACAAGAAAGAGCTGCTGATTTACAACTATGCCGCCACCATAGGCTCTTCCGCAACATAGTGGAGGTAGGCACCAAGCAATTTTACCCCTTCAATGTAATTCCTCTTATCAAGCTTCTCATTGATGGAATGGGCAGCATCAGTTGAGCTGCCCATCGGCAATAGCAAAACGTTCTTGCCAGTCGCCTGTTCGAAGCTCAGGGTGACAGGAATGCTGTTTGCGTTAGCTTTAGTCATGGCGTAGCATCGAGAACTTGCTAGAAAACATACCTGCCACCTTCACGTGTCAAATCTGGCTCAACACCAAATACCTGATTCACTGCCTTGCTTGCAGCAGTGAAGTTCCAGTGTTTGGGACTGGCAACCCACCATTTTCCATCATGCTGCAGCCACACGTCCAAAGTATTCTTGCTATTCAGCTTTGCGAATTCTGCCTTGATGTAATCGAAGACGAGTTTATTCACATCTTTGCTTTCCATATTGGGGACAGTCCGAATCGAGAATTTACCAATGACCTTCGCTGGTATAACTGTTTTGGCGCCCGGCGCCGAATATGCGCCTTCGATGCCATGAAGCGACAAAGATGGATACCTCCATCTAGCCATGAGCGTTCTTTCTTTCGTTGGGTGGATGCTAGTTTTGCTCCCCAGGGATTGATGAAGGTCGTCCATTGTGTAGCTGATATTGGGATAGAGGGCCTTTTCTTCCTCAGTCAATGGCTCGACAAGGTCCATGATGCCGGGTATTAAGATGTTGCCATGAGCATCAACAAGTTTAGACATCACATGGACCAAGTCTGTCATAGGCTCATGGGCAGATCCACCGAAAACTCCGCTATGAAGATCCTGAGCGGGACCTGTGACACTGATAGAGTAATAGTTGCAGCCTCGCAGGCCATAGGTTAGACAGGGTTTCTCTGTTCCAAGCCAATAATTGTCCGATATGCAGACGGCGTCCGCATCCTTGAAAAAGCCTTTGCTCTCAGCTTGAATAAACTCCTCCAATCCTTCCGAGCCATACTCCTCCATGCCCTCAAAGCAGCAAAGAAGGTTGACTGGCAGCTCAACACCAGCTTTCCTGTGAGCCTCGATCACATTCAGCCATCCCAAGACGGGGCCTTTGTCGTCTGTACTTCCGCGGCCGTACATCCTTCCTTGGCTGTCAACCGTCAATTGAAAAGGCTCAGTGGCCCATCCATCTTCCTTTAACGCTGGCTGGACATCATAATGGCCGTAAACCAGGATAGTTCGCTTGTTTTTATCATTGCCATACCGAGCGATGACAACTGGGGGTAGGTCAAGGTATTCCTTTCCAGGCTGTTTTCCCAGCGGCCTTTGGTGCACCTCAGCGCCAAGTGCCTCCAACTCGGAGGCAAGAAACTGAGCCATCTTTATAGGAGAAGGTCATGGGTTAATTCTATTTGTAAGGAGTAATAGAGCATCACGTACTCTGAAAACGTCCTTCCTGTTCTCATCTTGTGCAGAAACAGAAGGGATCGCAACAGCCTTTCGCAGACCTTAAGTTCTGTCAGCATGCTGCATGGGAAGATAGAATAGGCAACACTCGACTTACGCTCGATGAAAGATTCGGCAAGGCCGTCAACCCTAGACAGATGAAGCACCAGGCCTTTAACACATGTCCACTTGTTGGGTACTGAAGGAGGAAGGAGGACAATGATGGGAGAGACACAATAAAACAATAGAGGATTAAAGAAAGAAACTTACTGCTTAAAAAACGGATCAAGCTGGGGTGCCATTTTTCGATCACTGATATGTCCGTAAAAAGAGCGGCGATAGGAGAAGTAAGGTGTCCCTAAGAATGGAAAATATGGTGTCCAATATTCTTTAGTGGAAACCGAGAAAGATAAAAAGGGTTTATATCCCCTCAGTGACGTTGCGACGCGACGGGGCAGGAGGGGCATTTGGGTGCGTGCGGAAGAAAATCGAAGTGACACGATTTGCTGGTTGGGAGGGGAAGTTTACCTAACACTTTAATAATTGAAGCGCTAAAAGGTAGTAACACGCGACCTTTATGCCGCAACTAAGCGATAATGACCTCTGTACTATCCTACTAGTAGTAAGTACATAAGGAAGACTTACTGGAACCCAGTGAGGTTCTAGCATAGTAGATACAATATGGAATCCAATACAGTAACGCTAGAGCTAGAATACAAGTTTTGATACAACATCTGTGAGCTTCCCATAGGCCATGGACAAGAGATACCGCAAGCGTCGAATCAATTGGACCCTCTAGAAAACCAAAGCAAGATCGATGGGCTAGAGTTAAGTCAAGATGGGACGCTCCTCCTTCATTCATCTCTTCCCCAGGATTCTTTTCGCAACTGTCGGTCTTCTCTAGCCATCCGACGCTTTGTACCCCATCTTGATTGTACCGCTTCTAAGACTTGTTTCTGAATTTCCTTCTTTTGTGGGCCAGCTTCACATACCATAGCAATGAACATTGGAGAGCAGTCGAAGCGCTTAGCCAATTTCCAACGGCTCCAAGTCATCGGGTCGCTTAGTCGCAGTCTGCGGATCTCCTCTATGTCTGAAGGATTCAAATGATACTTCTTCTCCGCAGGTGTTTTGAATACAGAGGGTAGTTGACCGGAATTCCCACTGTTCATGGAAGCGCCACGGAGGGATCTCCGAACATCATCGAGAGGGAGAAATTTCGTCGGTGTATGGTATACCGAGGGAGCGCTCGAAGGCGGATTGTGAATGATTTGATCATGAAATTGGGTGGATGAAACACCAAATGACGCATCTGGCTTGACACGTAGGCGCTGTTTCGTCCGTCTATACGAGGATTGGTGCCGGCGTGTTTGTAGAGTGATCGACTCGCACGAAGACGGAAAAAGAAACGGCAGGGCTAGAAACGACCGTTTGGGAGCAGTAAGGCAAGTTGCCATTTTCTTTTCACTTCCTATCTAGGACCTCGGATTGAAGTTATGCTGAAAGACCGGGCTGATTTCAATCCAGGGTAAACTAGAACGACGGAGAGAGCGAGTGTTAGCAACTATATCTAAAATTAAGAACACCATTGGGGGTGCATAGTATGTGGAAATGCCTGAGGACATACTTTCGCAGGTCAAATCTATAGCATTATTTTCTAGCCGCGTTGAAGCCAGGTTCGGACACAAAACGTTCTTGGGGATTCGAACATTAACTTTTTCCTCCAAAGCAGCAAGTCCCGTGACGGGGGCTGATCATTAGATACAGCCTAGCCTGATTTAGTAGTAACTTACGAGAGGTAATATATCGTAATTACAAGACGTTTCAATAAAGGTACTGTGCCACTGCTAGAGCCTCAATCTCCTTAATGTCTCGATTCCTCGCAAATAACTTCATTATCGCTACCAGATCAAGTCCATTCTTCTTTTCCACACTAGTTGCCCAATCAACCCAAGATATACCTATCTCACACTTTGTAGTATGTACAGTGACTTTATAGTGTGTGATGTGTAGGAGTACCTCCTTGAACCGGGCAAAATGAAACATAGCTAAACGTACGCAAAGAGGGCGTTAGATGGAATCTCAGTAGTTTGACAATTATTTACCAGCATACTATGTATGATGCTAGTAGACGTCTTTCAAACTTAGCTTCCTTGTCCTGGCTTCGAAGCCAGTGCCTTAGGCATACATAGCATGCTTCCAACTCGGTTAAAAGTGACAGGACGTGATCACGGACTCTCCTTCTCTCGTTGGATTCATCTGAATCATTATTCATGCGTTGTCGAGCGCTTAGCAAATACAGTCTGGAAGGATACTGGTAGTGAGACATTGCTGCCTCCTCTCTACGTCTTGACCTTTGCTACGGCCTCCAATGCCTGTTGAAAGCGATAGCGAAGATCAGAAATATCTTCCAAGCCAACGCTTATCCTTACCAGGTCA